CCCCATTGTACAGCGACTTTTAAGAGAGATTTAAGACCTCATCATTGAAGTGTGATCCACCGCACTATAGAAATCTAATGATTTTGTTCAACATTATGCACAATCTTATTGATTTCTCCATTTTTAATTCAGAAATTAAAAACTTTTTCTAAAAATGCAGGAAAAACTTAGAAAAGAGAGACTGGAAAAGAAAGCTACTAGTCAGAAGCAAAAGGTAAGTGTGATTCTCCTTTATAACAACATTGACCCATTTAAATAAAAGTAAACGTGAAATAATTGATTTTCATGTCTTCCGCAGGGCAATGATAAAAAAACTGTAAAAGGTAGGTCCTTCAGATTGCATTTCAAAGAACTGAGTTTATACAGTGTTTGGTGTGCAATACATTAATCTGTTTATTGTTACGTGTGAAGTTGAGAGAAAGAAGCGTGAAAGGGAGGAGGATTACAAAATCGCGGATGTCATTTCCAAAGAGGTGAGTCTTCAGTTTAGTTTGTTTTTATATGACACCAAAAAATTTTATTTTAATTACTGATGTGGGTTTTTCTCTCTTTTAAGGAAATTCTGTCAAAAGCTAAAAAACCGAAAATGGAGGAGGTAAAGTTTTATTCTGGCTTTTGTTTTCAGGCATGTTTCAACTCTAAAGCTCAATTTATACTCCAGTTTAATTGTGCGCACAGTCAAAGATAGCCTTTCAAAGTATACTCCATTTAATAGCGTGGCATGCACAACCACATTAGGGCTGTCACCGACTAAAGTTTATCATAGTCGGCTTTTAGTTGTTCATGTAGTTTTTTTTTTTTTAATTCTAAACCATAATGAGCATTTAAAATGGGCTTGAAATTTGTGGATAAAGGTTGTTGCAGCGTCACTGATAAACATCACTTTAACTTTGAGATCAGACTGCATACAAATAGATTGGCTAAAATATAAATAACAGCCTTATCTTAAAAAAAAAAAACTCTACATTTAATGAAAATATTTTTATAATGTTGGGCATAAATGTAAATGATCAATATACTGCACTGAAACTGAAACACTTAAGAGAAATATCTGTGCAAATATTCAGGCCAATGGACAAGTAGCTTTAACATTAAATGAAAATTCAAACAAATATACAGCATATAAAAATTAATCAATAAAATAGTCATACAAGTCATGTTTGAGATTTCACATTTCACAGTGTCTTCACAAGTTATGAATGATTAAATGTCCTTGTGCATGTTTAAACTACAGTTGCATTTATCTCTTTTTAGCCCCTGTGATCTACTGTTCATGGTGTCTCCTGTAATTTGTTTTTGTCTCCTTTTCTTTCTTCATTTTGAAGCCAATAACATTTTGCGCTCCGTTAGAAAAATCAAGCTGTGCGTCTACAGTATGTCATGCACACTGTATGCATACCCTAAGCATACGTGTAGAAAACTTATAAGTTTGGACTAACTCTGCTTGGATGAACCGCATTTGAAGCTGTTGTAAAATGCTGATGAGCTCACTTTTTGTATTAAGGCCAAGTTGCAACATTGCTTGGCAACTATATAAAACCCACAGTTAAAATAATGAATTACATTATTTTTTTTCGATCTGTCCGTAAAGGAGGCACATGCATCAGTAAAGCTGGAAGCTGAGGATATAGAGCAGCTGAGTGAAACAAACTCGGATATTAAAGGCAGGCTGTCTGAGACTTTGCGGGAAAACAGCAAGCAGATGCTGGATCCAGAGAGAACTGTGAACGGTCAACCGGTACCTGCACAGCAACCCAAACTCTTCTCTGGGGGTGTGATGAGGTGGTACCAGGTGGAAGGCATCGAGTGGCTCAGGGTAAGGGCTTCCTGGAGGCATTGAGCAGTCCTGAATGAGTAGATGACCAGCAGAGGGCAGTATAGTAATACTCACACTGAGAGCTGGGCTGTTTCGGCAAAAAGTTGATCGTAGAGACCATTGATGGCAATTGTTCTATGATCAACTTAAGCTTATGATGCTTTTGGGAAACAAAGCCCTGGATGTTTTTATATATATATATATATATATATATATTATATCTATGCTTTAAAATTGTGTATGCTGGTTAAATTTGAACCAAACATCTGTCTTAATGCTCTCATACTTTTGAGTTGGAAGACAAGGAAGATGTGTATTCTGTTTGTATAATGGCTAATGAACTGTTTTGTCTGCTTTTCAGATGTTATGGGAGAATGGTATCAATGGTATCCTGGCTGATGAGATGGGTCTTGGCAAAACCATACAGTGCATTGCCCATATTGCAATGATGGTTGAGAAGAAGGTCCTTGGGCCCTTCCTAGTTGTGGCTCCTTTGTCCACTCTTCCAAACTGGATGTCGGAATTCAAGCGCTTCACCCCAGAGGTGTGAATCAATTAATGTAGCTCATCTTTATTGAAATTTTTACTTTAAGACAAGAGCTAACAATTTTAAGGCTTTCATCTATTTGACTTGTCTTTTTTGTTTGCTCTCAATGTTAAGGTGTCCGTCCTGCTGTATCATGGTACTCAAAAAGAGAGGATGAACCTGGTGAAAAAGATCCGTCAGCACCAGGGTCCCCTCAAAATGTGCCCTGTTGTTGTTACATCCTTTGAAATAGCCATGAGAGACCGGAAGCCTCTTCAGGTAAACAGATCTGGCATTGCATATTTGGTACTCTCACACAAAAAATTAATCTTCAATTTAATACTAAACAGTTTCATAAAAACATAGACTTACCTAGTTTGAATCTGAAAAGTAAGACCGGTTAACTAGTCTAACCAACTAGCAGTTAGCCAAGCGTGTCTTAACATGGTGATATTTATGGCCCTGGTCTTGTGCATAATTCATCAGGACAAGACTTTTTGTACGTTTTATCTTTCATAAAAATGTCTTAATTTTCTCAACATGGAAGTATGTGCCCCTTCTGCCACTTAAACACAGATTTGGCCAGGACCAAGCAATTTTTAAGTGAATAAATTGAGGACTCTTATGTTTGTCTCCTCAGCATTTCCACTGGAATTATCTGATTGTGGATGAGGGCCACAGGATTAAAAACTTGAACTGTCGGCTGGTGCGAGAGCTAAAGATGCTCCCAGCTGATAACAAACTGCTCCTGACAGGAACCCCCCTGCAGAATAACCTGTCTGAACTGTGGTCTCTCCTCAACTTCCTCCTTCCAGATGTGTTTGATGACCTGAAAAGGTAAGTCACATGTGGCTCCTTTCATGCAAATGGAATTTGACATCATCCAGCATGTCATCTTGCAGATTATTCTTAAATGGAAGATTCTATATTTTTTCATGTAAATTTGAACTCTGTATTCAATACTTGACATTTTTCCCCGCAGTTTTGAGTCTTGGTTTGACATTAGCACCATCACTTCCGACGCAGAAAATATTGTGGCTGGTGAGCGAGAGCAGAAGATCCTTCACATGCTTCATCAGGTATCTTCACTTGACATTAATAAAGTTTTGTAGATGTTGCTACCGCTACACAATCTAAAATGTTCAACCAACTAGCTCTTTTGTAATGTATAGTTTTTCTGTTCTTTTGCTTGTGATTCTGATGCCGTTTTTAACTTTTTCAGATCCTCACACCCTTCCTTCTGAGAAGACTGAAGTCGGATGTCACACTGGAGGTTCCACCTAAGAAAGAGATTGTTGTGTACGCACCCCTCACCAACAAACAGGAGGCCTTTTACATGGCCATTGTTAACAAGACTATAGCAAAGATCCTGGGCCAGGAGAAGGTTAGTTTTATGCAGTGTTAAAGGTGGGATCAGTAGTTTTTGAAATATGCTGTTGCACAATGTTGATGTTTTAAATCAAACCAAATCAAACACACCCCTATATATATATGTATGTGTGTGTATAGATATATATATATATATAGAAGCGCAACAAAATAATGCTTCCCGAAAAAAAATAACGCACAGATGATGAATGAATGACAAGTAAGCACAAAAAAATGAATGTACATTGTACACTACACAATCGTAATTACAAACAAGAGTTGGTTGTTAGTTGCCGACAGCACAGCAGCTCCAGACACACAATGACACTCAAACCCAGTGTTACTCATGTGTGGACCTGAATCAAAGCAACCTCCGCGTTGTTTTTCAGCATGTTTATGAATGCCGTTGATTTAACGTTACATTACTGTATATATAAATATATGACCTACCCCGTCCCTAAACCTACCCGTCACTGGGGTTAATACCATTTATTAGTCTTCCCCTACCATCCTAGGAAAAAAAATATCGTTTCCTAGATATAGATCTACATTTTGCTTCGTTTCGCTTGGACATTTAACGGCATGTACATGCACGCGGATAGCTCAAAATGTGTATAGATAACGCCACTTGACTTGAAAGTGGCGTGTATGTTTACGCAAAGTCATGATGCCATGTTGGCGTCTGTTTTCAGGCCTTCCCACTCCGCTTTCTCCAGCGCTGGACAGCGTTTCTAATATTAACACGGGTCCTAAGCTCTTCCCTAGACATAACCCTTTATTTTCCAGTAATTTCTTCTGAGCATTTCTTTTTGCATTGTCTCATCTCTATTTCTGAAGTCTTCAGTTCAAATCTCCCTCTTGCTTGTTGTCCTCAACCGTCATACGCTCCCTATGCTGATTGACACATTTGTTGTTGGTGTCAGACTGACTAACATCCAAACAGCATATTTCAAAACCTACTGATCTTACCTTTAAAGGCCTGTTTACACAAACATGAATATTCAGCATGATAATGCAGTCTGATTTGTCAATTTATTCAGACCAATAAGTGAAATATGGCAGATGGGCTGAATGAAAATGCTAATTCATTCTGGTGACGCTTATGGAAAAGCAGAAACCTTGGCTACTCTTGTACACAAAGTGTTGTGTAACTTTCTGTTTCTGTCACCAGGAGAAGAAAGCCCTGCTGTATTTACATGTTTTCAAACAGACGCTCAGATTAGGTTGCTAAGGTCTTGTATCATTCATCAAATACCTGACACATCAACACCAAAAGAACAGATGCATTAATATGCTGTATTAATGTTTATTGTGCTGAAATTCATCTTGTGAACAGGGCTTTTAAAAATTAAAAGTTTGAAAGTTAGATTAAGTATTTATTCATGGTTGATTAATGTCTTAATACACATCTTTAAGGATGATTCGGGGCCTGTGCAGCTGACGTCCAGTGGTCGGCCAAAACGCAGGACCAGGAAGATGGTGGACTATTCTGAGGAGGACACTGGGTCTGACTCCATGCAAGACCTTGAGAAATATCTAGAGAAAGTTCAGAAAGAGATGGAGAGTCAGGAAAGGTCTGTTTGCCAAATTGAGCTCCGCTTTAAACTCAGCTGTTTAATGTCACAATGTTTTTGACATGACATGGTTACTTTCTCTATAGCCCTAGTCCAGTCGCGGATGTGTTTTTGCCGGTTGATTCTCAAGTCAACTTGAAACTGCAGAACATACTGATGCTGCTGAAGAGGTGTTGCAACCATGCTTACCTGATAGAATATCCTCTGGACCCCTCCACTGGAGACTTTAAGGTACTTCACTTAATACCAGATGTAGAATTATGATGAGTGATCACATTTTGTAATGCAATGGAACAAGTGCAATAATCTTCATCTCATTGGGACAGATTGATGAGCAGTTGGTGGAAGCATCAGGGAAGTTTCTTATCCTGGATCGAATGCTTCCTGAACTGAAAAGAAGAGGGCACAAGGTAACGATCACTTTTCATACATGCATTTTAATCATTAACCACTCTTATCAGTGAGTGTCAGAATCCATTGTGGTTGTAAGCTATTTGTGCACACATTTAATTGCCTGTATAAAAATTGTGTGTGTGGATTATACGTAGGGCAGGGTGATACTTTTAATATTTATGATGCACACAGTACAGCACTTGATATGGCCATTGAGTTTCCTAAAGAAATTGAATGCTTTTATGCATTCATTTTGAATCTGCACTACCATTCAAAATATTTGGGTTAGTATTTTTGAAAGAAGGCTTATTTGATCAAAAGTACAGTAAAACAGTAAAAATGTGAAATTCAAAAATATAACTTATTCCTGTGATGAAAAAGCTGAATTTTCATCAACTTTAATCCAGTCTTGAGTCACATGATTCTTCAAAAATCATTTTAATATGCTGGTTTGCAATAAGCATTTCTTAATATTGAAAGCGGTTGTGCTACTAATGGTGAAAACTATTTTATTATTTTGGTTGTAGCTGTTTTAAATGGTCTTAATTGCATCCACATCTTTGTTTATTTTTCAACAGGTGCTGATTTTTAGCCAGATGACCTCCATATTGGATATTCTGATGGATTACTGTTATCTCCGGGGTTATGAGTACAGCCGACTGGATGGCTCAATGAGTTATTCAGACCGAGATGAGAATGTGAGCAGCAGTTTGGTTCGCACAAATTGCCATTGCGCTACAGTTAGTGTGGGTTGTGTTCAGTAAACAGTTGACTAATTTTCCTGCAGATGAAGAAGTTTGCTGATGATCCAGAGGTGTTCCTCTTCCTCCTGAGCACTCGAGCTGGTGGTCTGGGGATCAACCTCACATCTGCCGACACTGTCATCATTTTTGACAGTGACTGGGTATGAATTATTTTTTGCATGCTTTTTTTAAACCAATTTAGAGTTCAGCTAGAATTCAGATTTTTCAATAATTGTGAACGAAAAGCCTCTTCAGCATATATGTATTTGGTGAATTTCATCTCCAGAATCCTCAGGCAGATTTGCAGGCACAGGATCGGTGTCACCGTATTGGGCAAACGAAGCCTGTGATGGTTTACCGCCTCATTACGGCCAACACCATTGATGAGAAGATCCTGGAGAGAGCCTCTGCCAAGAGAAAGCTAGAGAAGATGGTCATTCATAAAAGTATGTAGCTATTACCATGGCCACATTACCAACTTTTGAATTTAATAAAACTTGTTTTGAGGGTTCATCTAGTTTTTGCAATGACTGACCCTTTTGTTTTCTTTCTCCCTCCCATTTATGTTTGTCATTATAGATAAATTTAAAGGTTATAAAGCAGATCTCAAACAGACCAAGAGCTGCATGGATGTAAATGAGCTTATAGAACTGCTGAAGTCCAGAGACTATGACAGGTACAGATATTCATACTGTATATCTCAACTGTTGCAAGAGTTTTAATCATCACAAAGTGTTGCCAAGCTCTGCATTGTAAGTTAGACGCTGTCCTGACATTATTCATGCTGTTGCAGGGCAGTGAAAGGCACTAAAGGAAAGGTCATCAGTGACAAAGATCTGGAGATCCTGCTGGACCGCAGTGATTTAACGAGTAAGTGGATCAATGTCCTTTACATCTCGATCTTAATGTTTCCTTGTCAATGTAATGCGTTTAGTCCACTGCATAGTAGTGGTAATAAGTAATGATACTTGGATATTGTAATGCCCCTCTAATGTGAATCAAATCTCCCTTTTCAGATCAAGCCAAAAAGCGTTTGAAACAGGAAAAGGACAGGGTGTTTAAAGTTATTGAGGCCAAAGATGACGATGCTGACATCAGTCTGTCCTGAGAGCTTAGACACTTGAAGCTTGCCTTTAGGCCAAAGTTGAGTTTTTCCCACTGCATTAAACTGATCAAGCAACGTTAACTGGTATAAAAGCTGCCTGCTGGTTATACAGAAAGATTGAGATCTTTTCCATTTTAGACTTTTGTAAACCATCACTGCTGCTTTTAATCAGTCCATCCTTGGTTGTGAATTTATTTTATCGGCTTTAACATAATTTCAGTTTTTTTTTTGCTCTTTTTTTTTGAGGAGGGGGGATTTGCACTAATGAAAAGAATCCCCTACTTTGGCCTCTCTGTAAATACTGTTGTACATTTCATAAGTAGTTGACTGAATAGGATTCGTTTACATGCTAACTGCTTCAAAGCACTTTGCTAGAATACTGTAGAACACAAACATTCCTTGTTTTTTTTTTATATATCTTTAAAATATAATAAATATTTTATATTCAGTATTTGTGAAGTTTATTTAATTTTTGCAAACAATCGCTGTGATGGTAACAAACCAACAGATGCCTGCATTCACTCTACAGGGCATGTAGCTAATGTCCATCACAAGACAAAATGACTTCATTTTTGCTGTTTGTTCTCCTCTTCTAGTTTTCTTCTTATATCCTGGATCACTGTAGGAAAAAAAGTCATTTGAAAAATGCAATGCAAAATATTATGAGATTATATTTGCACTCCAAACACAGGATTCATAGTTCAGTGTCTTTGACTTAATAGGCATGTACACAATGTAACAATTTTTATAGACATTGTTGAAAGGGTTCTTTGAATAGTATTGAAGCGTATTGCATTCATTTGAGGAAACAATCTACTCTGTTTTTCTGAATTAACGAGTTATTTATCTCAGGTTTTTGCTCTTTTTTTCTGAATTAACAAGTTAATTATCTCAGAATTATGATAATATTTTTCTTGATAAAAAGTTTTTGCTTTTGTAGATAATCAAGTCATTAATTCAGGAAAAACAGCAAAAACTTTGTAATTATGAGAATTAACTCATTAACTCAACTCTTTTTTTTTTCCATAAATTCTCAGATTTACAAAATCATTTTTCATGGAAAAAAGTTTTTGCTCTGTTTTTCTGAATTAACGAGTTAATGATCTAAGAATTACGAGATAATTAACTCGTTTATTCAGAAAAACAGAGTATATTTTTTTCTTCAAGTGAATGCAATACGATTCCGTAGAATAGAAAGCACTTATTTGAAATATAAATATTTTTTAACATTACATAAATGTCTTAAATATCACTTTATCCATTTAAAAAGCTAATTTAAACCAGGAAATGTTAACTTTTTTTCAAACTTAAGATTTTCAACTTTCTAATTGACAAATCAAATAAATAAATATACTTTTTGAACAAAGGGTCAAGTTCAAGCAGCTCAAGTGCTAATACATTAAGATATATTTTTGCCATAAAAATTCAAAAAGCAATGTTTTTACCAGTGGTCAGATTATATCAGAAATCATACCATCATCAGTAGGTGAGAGCTTTAGTGCGTTTCTTTGACGTTTTGATGTGATGTCAGTAATGGTCATGGGAGGATCAGCTGCATCCATGTGGCCCATTCTCTGTGTGATCCTGTCGCTGATGCCGAGGTAATCCTTGCGCAAGTCTTCCATCTCTGCTAACAGCACCTCCCTCTCTCGCTCAAGCAAACCAATGGCCTCTTTGAGTCGCTCTCCCTCCCTGAAGCTTGCCATCTGAGATGCCATCTTTTCTTTCTGAATGGTCTGCAGCTTCTCAGTCAGGACTTGCTTGTCTCTCTTGAGTTTATTGACCATCTCCATCAAGGTCTCGCACTCTCTTCTCAAACCATCGGACTGCTGCAGACAGGCATTTTGCTGCTCCTGTAGTTGAAGTATCTCCACTCTCTGCTTGTTGTGAATCGATTTGGATTCAGACTTCATGGTCTCCACCTGCTGATGTGCTTTGTCTCTTTCTTTTCGGCACTTCTCCAACTCAGCATTCAGTTTCTCAACCATGTCCTGAAATTCCTTAACGTTCTTCTCATTGTCAGACTCTTTGGAGCGAGTTGACTGAATGAGCTCTTTATTCTTCTCCTGAGCTTTACGCAAATGATCTCTGAGGTTTTCAGATTCGCTTCTCATGGCCGATGCCTCCTCTTCGAGCCTCTGATTAATGCTTATGTTCTTCTTGTGTTCAGCATCCATCAACTGCAAGGTCTCTCTACACAAAGCGAGATCTCGTGCCGCTACATCTCTTTGCTCCTCAAGTAGTTTTTGCTTGGTGAGCAGCTCTTGAGACACCTGCTGAAGCTTCTTTAATGATTTTTGACAGCTCTTTTTCTCATCGAGCTCCAGGTTGAGCTGGTCCTTCATTGTGACCGCACGTGTTTTGAGACGCTCATATTTCTCCATCAGTGCTTTAAGCTGCTTCATTGAAGTTTTGTTGTTACTTTTGGCTTCAGCTAGTTGCTCCTTCAAGTCTTCACAGATATGATCGAATCTGGTGGTGATCTCTGTATTTTTCTGCTCCTCACATTTCAGCTTTTCAGTAATAAGTTGGGTTTCTCTCTCATTTTGCTTTGTTTTCTCTTTCATATCTTTCAGTTCTTGTTGCTTGACCAACAACAAATGGACAAGATGTTGGTTTTCCAAATCCTTCTGTTGCAGTTGTTCCTTCACAACTTCAAAGAAGTCAAGATGTTTGCCCTTGAAAGATGAGTTTTTGTCAGCTCTGCTTTTTTCTCTTCCCTTAGACATTTCCTTCAAAATGACTTTGGGTGGGTTTGAGGAGCATTCGACAGATCTTGTTGAATTAGACCTAATCAAGTAAGCGAATGGTAGGTGTAAAGCTTCAGAGTTACTGCCCATCTGTAAATCATATTTTGACCTGAGGATCCTCATTGTAGCCTCTTCTTTAAGCAGATCTGCTCCTGCTAGAATTCTGTGCATTGTCTGCTCATTAAAATCTTGATTGACATTTCCATTTGTGTTTTGTAGTAAACTCTGTCGCACTTTAAGGAACCTGTTCTCAAGGGTTTCCACTGAAGCGTGTTGTGATTTAGCACATGGGAGTTCTTGTCCTTTCTTCCACCCACTAAAAAGCATGTCATTTGATTGCACTTCACTGCTGATGGCTTCTGGCTGATGGCTGCCTAACTTTTCAGGAATTGGACTGTCTAAGTCCTGCTGTGTATCTTGAATGTTATCAAGTTTACACTTGTGTACAGACCTTCTGGTCCGTTTGACGTTCGAGTCCATTTGAGTAGAAAACTTCTTCTTCTTCTTCTTCTTCTTGTACTGCAAGACATTCGGGCAAACAAAGCTTTACTTGTAATAAGAAGCACTTTATTAATGCAGGAATGAAATGCAAATCAATTTCTTCAAAAGCTCTTACCTTACTTGCATTACTTCCCACCATCCAAACGAACTGCAACAGAAGCCTACTGTGTGACTCAATCCCCATTGTTTAAAATGTTTTAATGTCTATCACCATAGAAACGGGACCGGTGCTGGCAACACCAAGCGTTTGGGAAAAAAAGAAAGACGTTATAAAAATGGTTTTGAACCAAACCAGTTCTGCTTGAATGGCTGTAACGTTAGAGCTGCGGCATAAAAGCTTCTTTTATCACTCTGGTGAGTTGCAACACTTGTAAAGTCCAGAAACTTAGCAGAATAAACGGGCAAATATCTGATTTGAGCAAAACTTTGATAACTTAGTTTGTATAGTTAATACTTTATAACATGTTACTCTCAATACATTAACCCCAGTTTCACAGACAAGGCTTAAATGCATGTTTGACCTGTTTCAACAAAGCAAAGTGCATTGATATGTTAAAATATGTCAGTACCATTGTTTGGTCTCAAGATGCACACAAATAATGTTTTTTTTCTTTACAAGGCACAAATGCTATCAGGTGCACAGTTCTAGTCTGTTTGAGTTCCAGTTCCACCAGTGAGTTGAAAATGTATTTGTACTGCAAGACATTCAGGCAACAATGCAGAAGGAGTCAGAAACAGCAATTTTAAATATTTTAATTGTTTAAAAAATAAGTTAAATGGCATAACCTTAAAAGACTGACAAATCAAGTCCTCTCACGAGCACTCCCAATAGGTCAGAAGACCCAAATGAAAGGGGCGCTGTTCTTAGAGAAGTACAACAAAAGGCGAATGGATCACATTCATACAGATCTCAAAACATCCTCTGATCTACAGCTGATTTTCAAACTCATTTACATGCATGAGGCTATGATAGTCTAAAACGACACTGTACAGAAAGAGGCCCAGTAGAGCAGTGACTTGGATGGATTTACAACTTCAGCATTCCTTAAAAGCACTAAAAATATCTCACCAAAAAAAAAAAAAAAAACAGCAAAAAAGCTGGTGTATTTTCACACTGAATAACTGAACGTGGTTGAAGGCTGAATTGAAAATGCAACGGTTCATCCACTGAGAGCAGGAATTAAACCGTTATAAGGGGTTATATAAGGGGTTTAACATCTAGTTTTTGAATTCCCTGTCAGATTATTAAACAGTTGTAGTGCTTCCCTGATAATCCCTCAAACCAAGAGATGGCCAAAACTGCATTTATATGTGCTGACTTAAACCTGAATTGATAAGCATTTGTAATGATGTTCCTTGCCATTAACAGCGTCATATTGGTGGTGTGGATATTGGTCAGGGTAAATTATGCTGTAAACTTTGGTTAGAGTCTACATGACCAAACGTCAAAAAAAAATTACACAACATTAAAGCAGTGATTGTTCAAACACTAGGCAGATAAGGCACAGCAAACTGTCAGTTGGTCTTCAACTTCGTAGCTTGTGTCACCTGATCTGTAAGCGTGGCTCTTATAGAGTTCACAACAGTCTGTCGGACATTTTCTTCCATGTATTGCTCGGTAAGTGGCTTCAGGACCTAGAATGAACAAAGAGAATGAAAAACATTAATATTAAAGACTAGATTTTTTTAAAGAAAATGTGAACTGCTTTCTGAACATGTTTAGCCTGTTGCCAAATGGTTGCTTGCTAGGGTGTTCAGGGTGGTTGTTTACAGGTCAAAGTCAAAAGGAGTCCACCAACAAGTCCCAAAATATGCAAATCTAATGGCTTTTTTTTTACATACCTCAACCACCACCAGGCAAACATTGACGAGTCCAATTACTTAAAATAACCTTGCCTCAATTACTGTATAAAATGTAAGATTTTTTTGAGCATACGAAGAAAATATTTATATTTACTACTAAAAAATGTCCATGACTTGAATACATTTAAGTTATGAGATTGTATTACCTTTAACCCCCTCAGACCTCTACAAATTTACTTTTGTGCCTGAAGCAATACGATTATGCAATAAACTTAGGTGATGTTTTTACTTATGTATTTATATATGAAGAGTTCAGATGCAAAAGCCTCTAAATGCCATTTGAAATTTTCTTCTAAAATGACCATTTTTATCAAGCTTGTATATTTAAGTTCAGTAATTTCACTTAAATGACAATTAATAGGTAATCTTCATTGCCATTTAAGTGAAATTACTGAACTTAAATATACAAGCTTGATAAAATGATCATTTTAGAAGAAAATTTCAAATGGCACTTAGAGGCTTTTGCATCTGAACTCTTCATATATATATATATATATATATATTGAATGTATATGCTAAGTGTTTTCATGTGAGGCACCATGTGAGTTCAAACTAATTGCCCCACGGGAATTAATAAGGATTTATAATTAGACCTGAAGTATAAGTTTCTGAAAAATATAAAAGTACATTTTCCCAGCTCATGAGGTTTCTATAAATGAAAACAAATGAATTTTTTTATATAATTGCTTTCATTGTGATTTTTTTTGTCCATTCCAATGGACATCAGGTCTAAACAGGTGTACTTCCCAAAAATGTACCAACATGAAATAAATTAATAAATATAAAATCTTTTTTCTTTTTGAAATTTTGAGTTTCTCTGATCTTCTTGAAACTCTGGATTCTGACAGAGGGCCATGAGACTTAGACCTGAGTGCAAAAATGGAGGCTCTAGACCCTTCCAGAACTGAGATATGGACATCCCGCGTAGCATTTATCCCATTATAAAAATAGTGGTTTATCATGTGATAAATGCTACGTGGGATCTCAATATCTCAGATCAGGAACGGTCTAGAGCCTCCATTTTTGCTCTCAGGTCTAAGTCTCACAGCCCTCTATCATAATCCACAGTTTTGAGAAGATTGAAGAAACTTAATTTTTTGCCCGAAAATGAAAAAAACGAAAGGGGTAACACTGTCGTTTTTTTTTTCGGGTCGAAATTTTGAATTTCGATATCTCAGCTCTGGAAGGGTCTAGATCATCCATTTTTGCACTCAGGTCAAAGTCTCACAGCCCTCTATCATAATCCAGAGTTTTGAGAAGATTGGAGAAACTTAATTTTTTGCCCGAAAATGAAAAAAAAACAAAAGGGGTAACACTGTCGTTTTTTTTTCGGGTCGAAATTTTGAATTTCGATATCTCAGCTCTGGAAGGGTCTAGATCATCCATTTTTGCACTCAGGTCAAAGTCTCACAGCCCTCTATCATAATCCAGAGTTTTGAGAAGATTGGAGAAACTTAATTTTTTGCCCGAAAATGAAAAAAACGAAAGGGGTAACACTGTCGTTTTTTTTTTAGGTCAAAATTTTGAACTTTGATATCTCAGCTCTGGAAGGGTCTAGATCATCCATTTTTGCACTCAGGTCAAAGTCTCACAGCCCTCTATCATAATCCAGAGTTTTGAGAAGATTGGAAAAACTTAATTTTTCGCCCGAAAACGAAAAAAAAACAAAAGGGGTAACACTGTCGTTTTTTTTTTCGGGTCGAAATTTTGAATTTCGATATCTCAGCTCTGGAAGTGTCTAGAGTCTCCATTTTTGCACTCAGGTCAAAGTCTCACAGCCCTCTATCAGAATCCAGAGTTTTGAGAAGATTGGAGAAACTTAATTTTTTGCCCGAAAATGAAAAAAACGAAAGGGGTAACACTGTCGTTTTTTTTTTCAGGTCGAAATTTTGAATTTCGATATCTCAGCTCTGGAAGGGTCTAGAGCATCCATTTTTGCACTCAGGTCAAAGTCTCACAGCCCTCTATCATAATCCAGAGTTTTGAGAAGATTGGAGAAACTTAATTTTTCGCCCGAAAATGAAAAAAAAACAAAAGGGGTAACACTGTCGTTTTTTTTTCGGGTCGAAATTTTGAATTTCGATATCTCAGCTCTGGAAGGGTCTAGAGCCTCCATTTTTGCACTCAGGTCAAAGTCTCACAGCCCTCTATCATAATCCAGAGTTTTGAGAAGATTGGAGAAACTTAATTTTTCGCCCGAAAATGAAAAAAAACGAAAGGGGTAACACTGTCGTTTTTTTTTTCGGGTCGAAATTTTGAATTTGATATCTCAGCTCTGGAAGGGTCTAGAGCCTCCATTTTTGCACTCAGGTCAAAGTCTCACAGCCCTCTATCATAATCCAGAGTTTTGAGAAGATTGGAGAAACTTAATTTTTCGCCCGAAAATGAAAAAAAACGAAAGGGGTAACACTGTCGTTTTTTTTTCGAGTCGAAATTTTGAATTTCGATATCTCAGCTCTGGAAGGGTCTAGAGCCTCCATTTTTGCACTCAGGTCAAAGTCTCACAGCCCTCTATCATAATCCAGAGTTTTGAGAAGATTGGAGAAACTTAATTTTTCGCCCGAAAATGAAAAAAAACGAAAGGGGTAACACTGTCGTTTTTTTTTCGGGTCGAAATTTTGAATTTCGATATCTCAGCTCTGGAAGGGTCTAGAGCCTCCATTTTTGCACTCAGGTCAAAGTCTCACAGCCCTCTATCATAATCCAGAGTTTTGAGAAGATTGGAGAAACTTAATTTTTCGCCCGAAAATGAAAAAAAACAAAAGGGGTAACACTGTCGTTTTTTTTTCGGGTCGAAATTTTGAATTTCGATATCTCAGCTCTGGAAGGGTCTAGAGCCTCCATTTTTGCACTCAGGTCAAAGTCTCACAGCCCTCTATCATAATCCAGAGTTTTGAGAAGATTGGAGAAACTTAATTTTTCGCCCGAAAATGAAAAAAAACGAAAGGGGTAACACTGTCGTTTTTTTTTTCGGGTCGAAATTTTGAATTTCGATATCTCAGCTCTGGAAGGGTCTAGAGCCTCCATTTTTGCACTCAGGTCAAAGTCTCACAGCCCTCTATCATAATCCAGAGTTTTGAGAAGATTGGAGAAACTTAATTTTTCGCCCGAAAATGAAAAAAAACGAAAGGGGTAACACTGTCGTTTTTTTTTCGGGTCGAAATTTTGAATTTTGATATCTCAGCTCTGGAAGGGTCTAGAGCCTCCATTTTTGCACTCAGGTCAAAGTCTCACAGCCCTCTATCATAATCCAGAGTTTTGAGAAGATTGGAGAAACTTAATTTTTCGCCCGAAAATGAAAAAAAACGAAAGGGGTAACACTTTTTTTTTTCGGGTCGAAATTTTGAATTTTGATATCTCAGCTCTGGAAGGGTCTAGAGCCTCCATTTTTGCACTCAGGTCAAAGTCTCACAGCCCTCTATCATAATCCAGAGTTTTGAGAAGATTGGAGAAACTTAATTTTTCGCCCGAAAATGAAAAAAAAACGAAAGGGGTAACACTGTCGTTTTTTTTTCGGGTCGAAATTTTGAATTTCGATATCTCAGCTCTGGAAGGGTCTAGAGCCTCCATTTTTGCACTCAGGTCAAAGTCTCACAGCCCTCTATCATAATCCAGAGTTTTGAGAAGATTGGAGAAACTTAATTTTTCGCCCAAAAATGAAAAAAAACGAAAGGGGTAACACTGTCGTTTTTTTTTCGGGTCGAAATTTTGAATTTCGATATCTCAGCTCTGGAAGGGTCTAGAGCCTCCATTTTTGCACTCAGGTCAAAGTCTCACAGCCCTCTATCATAATCCAGAGTTTTGAGAAGATTGGAGAAACTTAATTTTTCGCCCGAAAATGAAAAAAAACGAAAGGGGTAACACTGTCGTTTTTTTTTTCGGGTCGAAATTTTGAATTTTGATATCTCAGCTCTGGAAGGGTCTAGAGCCTCCATTTTTGCACTCAGGTCAAAGTCTCACAGCCCTCTATCATAATCCAGAGTTTTGAGAAGATTGGAGAAACTTAATTTTTCGCCCGAAAATGAAAAAAAACGAAAGGGGTAACACTGTCGTTTTTTTTTCGGGTCGAAATTTTGAATTTCGATATCTCAGCTCTGGAAGGGTCTAGAGCCTCCATTTTTGCACTCAGGTCAAAGTCTCACAGCCCTCTATCATAATCCAGAGTTTTGAGAAGATTGGAGAAACTTAATTTTTCGCCCGAAAATGAAAAAAAACGAAAGGGGTAACACTGTCGTTTTTTTTTCGGGTCGAAATTTTGAATTTCGATATCTCAGCTCTGGAAGGGTCTAGAGCCTCCATTTTTGCACTCAGGTCAAAGTCTCACAGCCCTCTATCATAATCCAGAGTTTTGAGAAGATTGGAGAAACTTAATTTTTCGCCCAAAAATGAAAAAAAACGAAAGGGGTAACACTGTCGTTTTTTTTTCGGGTCGAAATTTTGAATTTCGATATCTCAGCTCTGGAAGGGTCTAGAGCCTCCATTTTTGCACTCAGGTCAAAGTCTCACAGCCCTCTATCATAATCCAGAGTTTTGAGAAGATTGGAGAAACTTAATTTTTCGCCCGAAAATGAAAAAAAACGAAAGGGGTAACACTGTCGTTTTTTTTTCGGGTCGAAATTTTGAATTTTGATATCTCAGCTCTGGAAGGGTCTAGAGCCTCCATTTTTGCACTCAGGTCAAAGTCTCACAGCCCTCTATCATAATCCAGAGTTTTGAGAAGATTGGAGAAACTTAATTTTTCGCCCGAAAATGAAAAAAAACGAAAGGGGTAACACTGTCGTTTTTTTTTTCGGGTCGAAATTTTGAATTTTGATATCTCAGCTCTGGAAGGGTCTAGAGCCTCCATTTTTGCACTCAGGTCAAAGTCTCACAGCCCTCTATCATAATCCAGAGTTTTGAGAAGATTGGAGAAACTTAATTTTTCGCCCGAAAATGAAAAAAAACGAAAGGGGTAACACTGTCGTTTTTTTTTCGGGTCGAAATTTTGAATTTCGATATCTCAGCTCTGGAAGGGTCTAGAGCCTCCATTTTTGCACTCAGGTCAAAGTCTCACAGCCCTCTATCATAATCCAGAGTTTTGAGAAGATTGGAGAAACTTAATTTTTCGCCCGAAAATGAAAAAAAACGAAAGGGGTAACACTGTCGTTTTTTTTTCGGGTCGAAATTTTGAATTTCGATATCTCAGCTCTGGAAGGGTCTAGAGCCTCCATTTTTGCACTCAGGTCAAAGTCTCACAGCCCTCTATCATAATC